ATAGGAATGCCTTCTCGGAAGTCAATAAAGTAAAAATAAGCTCAAAACTCCAGATGGTTGAGTCTAAAACCCGGATTTTTCATTACCAACCAATAAAAATTGAGGTTTATCATGAATGGAATTAACAATAATGTGTTTTCTAAATTTTGTACCCAAATTTCGTGCGTACTATAAGACAAACACGTTTCACGATAGTGTTCAAACAACGAAATTGTAGCATTGTGATAGATTTTTTGTGTTTAATTTCTTTATTTGAGAATCGAGTTTTGCGTTACCAAATTTGTTTATGATACTTAAAAAAATAAACAACGTGATGGCTCATCTACTATAAAGTGGCAGTGAACAGAACCATAGAATCCCTAACCGTTGTCATTTCTGGGGACTTTATACTCGTTATGTCTTTGTACTATATAATTTCATTATAATATCCCGTGCATCTTTCAAACCGAAACATTTCTATATAAGACCAGGCATAACAGGAATAGTTGAATTTTGTACAAAATTTTCCTCTGATATCGAAATTATAAATCTATTTTTATAGCAGATTTTGAAATTTTTAAATTCTGACATCGTTCTGGCGTGCCTCGGTGTTCCAAACTAATCCCGGGAGAATTGAGACTGTACGACAGTCTCAAGGTCAAATGGTTAGATACAAATTATATATCTTAAAAATTATTATATATAAATCCTGTTTTACAGTATCACTCATGCTAAACTCTGAACACGTTCTGATTTTAGTGAAATGTTTTAAATAGTATTGTTTTCATCCAATTTGAGAGATAGAATAGTTTTTATTCCGATAAAAAAAATGGACTCAGGGCAAAGCAACGTTTGGCAGGACTATACTAGCTAGCATACAAGTAATAAAAATTAATGATAATATACTATGTCTTAGTAGTGTGCGTGACCTGTTTACTGTTATAGTCACGTTTTATTTATCTATAAGTATGTCTTGAAACAGGTGTTCGCCCATATTTTTTGTCTTTACAATACTCACTTTCTGTATCGTGTTTATTTTACTTGTTGTATTGTTCTATTCTTTCAATGCTCTATTTATCCGCACTGCTATGTAGTATATCTATTGCTACTAGATGTTAGGTGAAATGCTTGTATTAAATATTTTCACCAGTAGGTACTTATTCAATATTTGTTCATTTAAAAACATTTAACTTTAAAATAGGAATTTGCTTTTCCATTAACCTTAAAAAATATTACTTATCTTATTATTATTTTTTAAGTTAGGATATTAGGAGCGCTTATTTTATATTCCCTAATTAAGGAAATCGAAAACCTGATCAGGATACTCGGTATCCTGAATCAATAATCGATTCTAAGTATTCTAAATTATGCTCTCATATTTCAGACTGCTCAGATCCGAGCTAATTATAATTTAAAACAGTTTGTTTCCTAAATTATTTTAATTTTTTGTTGAGAATGGAACTTGGGCAAATGTCTCAAACATGCGGTATGCAAAGTGGCTACCATAACTGCGCCACGAGGAATATTAAATTGTTGAATGTAATTGAAATATTTATTCAGTTGTAAAGGAACAGCGTTGTAATAGCAATTGCTACAATTTATCACACGTCTGCCGCCTACACGATTGTACAGTGCAAATTATCACAATGACATTCCGGCTGGAGGGAGGCACACAAGCCTCGGTTCCGTCGCAATGCCAATAACATTGTGTCTCGGCTTTAGTCTATTTATTTGTGACGATTTCTACTAGCACACGTGGTTAAACAAGCTGACGTAAACGAAGAAAATGCGAGAGAGGTGAGCCGTATCGTATCTACTCGTAGCTTGTAAGACGGCAAAATTTGATCGGTCGTACCTTTTCTTTGATTAAATTATAAGCATGGTGTATTATATATATACAAGTTTGTCTTCTATCGGGGTAGGCAAATAAAATAGAACATAAGCTGCAGACCTTTTTTGCTTCCTGTAAATTCTTTACTCGACCCATAAGTGGTTCAATAATCCTGCGTAAATTAACGCCGGTGGAGTTACCTTCCATTGTATCATGCCATAATAATTTGTAGCATGTAATCCTCATTCTTGTATTCAATTTGAAGGAGTTGGGGTCATCCTGTGATGGATCATTTCTGACGATGAAGTTAAATCAGTTGGCTCTGAATTTCTGATGGTCTCTAGAATTTTTTTTTTATATATGAAAATGGAATGATAACCCCGCCTGCGCTAACGGGATACGCTGGCGGAGCATCAGTGAAGGGTGATTGATGAGAATGAAAACAGGCCAGTTAGTTCATCATGATGATTTCATCAAGAATCTGAAAACTATCACGGTTATGATAGTTTCCAGAGGGAACCGCGAGGAAGTCGACCTGGTTGGGTATATTCCCCTCGGTCTCTAGAATGGGAATATTTCAGTTCTATTAAAACTTAAGTCAAGAATATAAAGCGATCGAAGTAAATATTCGGGGATAAGGTGGTTAAATCGACTTCTAATCCTTATTAATATTATTAATGTGAAAGTAAACTTGTCTGCTTACAGTACCTTAACGGCTTAGCCAATCACTATGAAATTTGGTATACACGTAGTACGGGATGTAGAAGGCCTATATATAGGCTATTTTTTATCCCAGTCAGTAAACAAATATCGGTCACGCAATGTTGTCAGTAAAAGCTAGTAGTGAATAAGTTTTACACAGTGATGCGTCAGTGTTTTCGTTGTTAACAAGAAAGTAATGACTGCAATTGTGCTATTTTTTTTTTGATGGGTGAAAATGGTATGGTAACCTCGCCTGCGCTAATGGGATACGCTGGCGGAGACAATTGTGCTATTAGGTTTCTGATCTGGCACACGTGAGTATAGTATCTAGTATCTATTGTTTCTGTGAATACTGTGTACGATCACAACCACTGTCGAGTTCAATCTTCTTTCCTTTGAATACTACTAGTAGTCCCGCGGTTTTGTCTATGTGAATTAGTATTTAAAGTATTTACGACGTGGTTTATCTGTACGTATGTGTATGTAAGCTTGCTGATATAACAAGCATTCAAATTTTTATTATAATTGCAAGTAAAATTTTTGCGTTCTGAAACCCTTTTTTAATACAACTTAGAATGACAAACAAGCTGACGGCCCACCTGATGGAAAGTGTAAAAACCGTCGCCTACAGACATGAGCAGTACCATGGACATAACAGAGTATACTTTTTCGCCCATGATACCCCCATGCAGTTGCAATTCCTGAGGACTCAGGTGTTATTCCTCCGTACCCAGTAAATTCACGCCATATCCCACCCTTCAAACCGAAACACAACCGTGCAAACACAACTGCTTTTCGGTTGAAATACGAATGGGACAGAGATACCAAAGTAATCGACTTTTGTACAAAGTCTCCCTGGTCTGGTATACCCTGTCTGGAGTATTAATTATTGCTGGGGGGAAGAAATTGTTAGTAATGGGGAGGTAAGTCTCCATTGCTTATACATATAGCGTATCAGGTTGCGCGATTCACTCTGAAAACTATCGTGACTTAATTTATCGTTGAATTCGTCACGATGGAGTAACGGACTTGCCTTCTCATCCTTACTCATCCTTTTTCACCCTCACTGGTGCCCCGCTAGTGTATACCGATAGTGCAAGGGGTGTTACCATTTCATAATCAGCCATTACAAAAAAAAATATCCTACTAGTTATTGCTACACAAAGGTATAAAAGGGTATTTGGTACTGTAATTTATTATATAAACTATCTTTTTATATAATATATTATATAAAATTTTATAAACTTTATGTAATAGGGAGTTTAAACTACTCATAAAATTTGAATTTTAATATTAGTATCAGTACTTTTAGAGACTTTAATCTGATCTTCCAAATGAATAAGTATTTTTTTTTTTAATTTTTATTATATTGATTTCTCTATACCTGTTTATTAGGTAAAAGCCACAAGTCCCTGTATCTCCTCTATATAAAACGTAACTTTAATGTATATTTTTCGATAAATACTGCAACGGATTCATTTACAATCTCATCAAAATCAGCATTCATATCTAAAAATCATAGTCGTCTATTTGTTCAATGAATATGTAAAAATCTTTTATGAGACCGTCCAAATAGTCCGTTACACTTAGATAAGTGCTACTTACTAGATAGTTAAGTACTTAAATTTTTCATGTGTTATGTGTTTTATGGTCAGATGTAGAATTGATTTCCTTGTTAATCAATTAGTAACTCATAATATATATAAAATGACAGTGTTATCTGTGCAATTGTACAAAACTCATAGTTGTTCCGACAGATGTCGTTAATATTTGGTAGAAATGTTTGAATTGGCAGCAGGGAACATTTTATCTATACTTATAATAAATCTGTAGAGAGGTCAATTCTGTACATGGAATATATTTCCAAAATAACTATCAGGGGGTGATTAGTGATCGATACTGATGCCAAAAATGCTATCAGTAAAATTTTTGTCTGTCTGTCTGTCTGTATGTTCGTTACAGAAACAAAAACTACACGACGGATTTTAACGAAACTTGGTACAATTATTCTTCATACTCCTGGACAGGTTATAGTATACCTTTCATCACGCTACGATCAATAGAAGCAGAGCAGTGAAGGGAAATGTTGGGAAAACGGGAGAAGTTACTCCATTTTTAAGCTTCTGTCGCGTGTGCAGCCTTAATGGCCGCTTTTTAAAATGTATAAATGTCCACCCGTGCGACGCCTGGACGGGCCGCTAGTACGGTAATAATTGTGATTTCACGTTGTGTCCAGCCAATTGTCCAAATCCAATTTGTTTCGTGATAAAACCTTACTTTACCTTACTCGGACTCGGCAAATATTTAAAAAAAAAATAGCAATCTTTGTTTAGCTGTTATCGAGACTTGACGAATGTATAAGAAAAAAATATCACACTTGACTTCAGCCGTTCCTGAGATTTGTGTTCAACAACACATTTACTGATACATTTTTATTTATCTGCATTAGTATAGATGTCTAAAGAAAACTATTGTGTGTTTGTTGCAGAGGCGTGTTCCCATGGAAGAGTAGCTCCAAGAGTCAAGAGGCGACATCGCCCACCGTCACCTGGCGGCTTTTCGGTAGCAAGTCCACACAGAACCTGGCGGCGAAGACTCTAACGTCAGAGGTGCAGAAGTCCTTGACACCTGTGTCTTCAGCGACCAGTACGCCGCATCATCACAAGCGGCAGGGGAGTTCAGCGAGCGAGAAGCAGTTCGAAGACCTAGTCGCCAGCTCGATTGCTCTAATACAACATGACAGGTGGGTCTCGCGTAAATTTTAAGTAGATTATCAGGTGGTTTATTTTTTTTTTAATGAATACCTTTGCCAGGGCTAACGGTATACGCTGGCGAGGCACCAGTGAGGGATGATATGTGAGAATGAAAATTAATTTGCCTGGAATTTAGCAAGATAGTTTCCAAGGGGGGCCACGTGGAGGTCGGCCTGACAGGGTATATTGCTAGCAATGGTACTGGTAGTCTGCATTACTAACAATTCCTCCCCCCCAACAGGTGGTTTATTATGAGCGTTTGAAATTTTACATTGGGCTCTATTCTAAGGTGCTATTTTTTTATTTGTTAGTTACGCGAAATTGTTGCATTGTGGACCATTATAAACTAAATTTAAGTTAATTTTGATTTACATCTATTAGTTCATATTGGTCTTAAGAATAAAGATATCTTGTGATATCAAATTTTAATTTTAATAATAGAATTAAATGACAGCTCAGAATCGACCCCAGAATTACAAATTAAATGGAGCTGCCCTGTAAATTGCCACTAAAACCTAGACAAAACAGGCCTGCATACATCGTCACGTGACTTAAATCTGCTAAAAGTTTACTAAGTCCCACGTCACCTCGAACCAAAAACAAATGCAATTAATCTATGTAACCAATTCAATTAATCTGAAAATTTTACATTATAAAGTAAGTTTTTATGGTGCCTATCGATATCTGGGACAAAGACATTTTATAAATAATTATGTAACGTTGCAAATATTAATTTATTATATTTTCTTGTCACTTGTACATAGCTGAATTGATGCATTTTTTAGTTCTGTTAATATATTATTAGTCCATGATGTTCCAATGTTAAGTAAAGATCTATATAAGGGTAGAAAAAGAAAAATAATAATATATATACACACACACACACACACACACATATATATATATATATATATATATATATATATATATATATATGTGATAAGAGGAATCAGTACTATTGTTCTCGTTTTACCTTTCACGCGTGGAGCGATTACACCACACGTGAAAGGTTCTCACCTTATACACGCCAGGGGTTAAATTAGGACATTAAACTAATCGTAGTTCAGTAAACTCTAATTCGCTTAAATCTCGGTGACAGTTTGAGGCTACATTAGGCCTGATCTACATAACCCTCAATTTATCCTGATTAATATTTCAAAAGTGAAAATGTTTGTTGAGTTTGTTGGTTAATTCTTAGTGGCTATGGTTACAAAACTTGGCTCAAATTAAATATTGGTCTTATTCAATCTATTTTCGTTGAACCCAAGGCGGAAATTTTAGAACATCTCTGTAAATTATTAATGCCCATTAATTCTTCTCTTTCTGTGAGTAGGGACAGTAGATAAAATCTTATCTGAAAAATCAGTTTAGGGTACGATAGGGATGATATATTTGACGAAGGTAAAAGCCCTTAGGAATTAAAGAATTTGGTTTACATATATTTTTTGACATGGAAAGAAGTGTTTAGGCTACAGGATTATTATAGATTTATACATACTCATACTAGCTTTTTACGCGCTACTTCGCTTTTTCGCATTTCTTCGAATTACAGATGGAAAACTAAGAGAATAGGCCATTTCAAGTTGTCGTATTAAATAATAATAATTCTTTATTAAGGTTACTGTAGTAACTGTGGTTACTGTAGTAACAATATTCATAATATTAATACTAGATTTAAAGACAAACTTGCTGTCCCCAAGTATCGTTTAGAAAAAGTTAATAGGTAGGTAAGATACCAAAGGATATGTTGGAATTTTTAAATTCAAAACATCTGTTAAATCGAAGCCTATTACTCACTAAAAAAAGAGGTGTGCATGGCAATAGTATATTAATGTTTCTATATAAATATACATTGTAAATACTGGCTTTAAAAAAAAAGTAATTCAATTGACTTATAATTTATATAAATGGACGGTAGGGAAAATATTAAATTATAATGTAAAAATTTGACGTTCATAAGCGGCTAAAATGTCCTACATGAATAAATGATTTTTGAATTTGAATTTGAATTTGAATTTGTGGTTACTGTCTTTTTTTTCTTTCGAAGGAAAAGAGAGGTAGTATATTATGTTCACGTACTGGCCACTAATAATTTTGTAAATACTGGCCGGTAACAATTTGTTCTATTTATTCTTTCAATGAATAAATTAGTGTTTAACCAACTCACTTGCGTATCACTACAGTTACCAGGACCCACTTTTTATATTTTACAAATTATTATAGTTATATTACATTTTAGAAATTAATTATAGCTGGGTTTTTTCGACATTCAACGCAACGGGTCATGTAGAAAGAATCCAGCTCATTTGCTAACATGGCCAGAACGCAGTTGGGGCTGATCCGCACTCTGCAGAGCTGTGACGCAAATCGTTTACGAATAATAGTGTAGAAACAATCCACATGCTTTTTCGCAAACATTCTCGATGCATTGCAGAATCGAGACAGTCCCAACAATATCCAGAATGCATTGTTATATTGTACTCTTCTTACTCAAAGTACTATACAGTTTTTTTATACAACTTAGAATGGCAAACAAGCTGACGGCCCACCTGATGGAAAGTGGCAACTGTCGCCTACAGACATGAGCAGTACCATGGACATAACAGAGTATACGGTATCGCCCATAATACCCCCCCCCCCCATGCGTTGCCTTTCCTGAGGACTCAGATGCTATTCCTCTGTGCCTTGTAAATTCATGCCATATCCCGCCCTTCAAACCGAAACACAGCCACGCAAACACAGCTGCTTCACGGTTGAAACACGAATGGGACATAGGTACCCAAGCAATCGACTTTTGTACAAAGTCTCCTTCTGGTAGTGCAAATTGCTTTCAATTTGGTGCAATAGTTCTTGCCTGATGCGGGACCAAACATACAGACAAACAGATTGACATAGACGGGTAGACAGACAAAATTTCAAAAAAATATTGTGGCTTTTATTGCTCGTATTGAAACCATTGAGAATCGTAAGTATATGTTCTTAAAAGATTTATTTTATCTATAATGTATTATCAAGTGGACATGTGAATCGAGTCTAGGACACGCAGCTAGCATATAATATAATAAAAATAGTTGTTACTTTTGTTCTCTTATCAAAATGGAAATACCAGAAGTAAACTGCATCGTGATATCGATTCATACTCTTATAGTTATAGCCATATGTAGACTAGTGTTTTTAATTATTTCATTTAGACGTTGGGAATGATTTTGAAATATGTTGTTCTTTAAATGTACACTATAAAATTTCATTGTATGAATAGTAACAAAAATGATAGTTTAATAATTGAAGATAAAAAAATCGTCCTTAATCTTGACTCTTGACGAAATGAATATACTAGTAGCTACGGGAAACCTTTATTAAAAAATTTAATCGTAATTAAGATTTTGTTCTATGCAAAAAATGTACTTCAATTGTTGACAAAACCAGTTTTTTTGATTTAAAAACTAAACTACTGAATCGATTTTTATAAAATTTTCACGGGACCAATCTGTAAATATATCCTTTCAGATAAAAAAAAAAAATCTAATCTGTTTACAACTGACAGAGTTATGAGGTCTGTTACCTCATAACTCCGTCAGTCACATAAAAATATTACAACCGAATTGAAAACCTCCTTTTTAAAGTCGGTTGAAAAAGGGAAGACCCTTATTAATAAATATTAATACTTTCTACGAACCTCATTTGACTTTTACACTGTTTTGTTACTTTTTTTCTAATTAGGATTTATCACAAAATAATGAGACAAAATAGTTCAATAGCTAAAGTAGGTTTATGAGAGCTTTTTTATGAATACGAAGGTTAATCTTTCATTTAATTCTTAGTTGTTAAATATACGAATTAAAAAGTCTGTTTTATGTATTCCTTATATTCTTTGCTTCTATGTTCCACAATTTTAAAATGTATATAAATTTAAGTTTTTAATTTAATTTGAAACTCAACAGTGTAATTATGTTTAATTAACAAGAAATATATTTTTTGCTTCACTTCAAAAGTTTTTTGTATTACTTTTTGCTGAGATGTTATTATTTGACATTGTCGATATCTGTGCGCATCTTTTACGAGGTTGTACTTTGAAATTTTAAAACAAATAAGTAATACTCAGACCAGTTTTTTTTTTTATAATTCTTGGGTTGAACATTGAAATAAAAAATATATATGGTATGTTTATTGTTTTTTTTTTTTCATTTATATAATAAACTAGCTGTTGCCCGCGACTTCGTCCGCGTTTCCGTCGTTTTTCGTAGAATAAGCAGCCTATGTCCTTTCTCACGGTTCACTGGTTTTGATGTAAGACATATTTCTCTTCACTGCTGTGCTCCTATTAATCGTAGCGTGATGAAAAGTATAGACTATCCTGGAGTATGGAGAATAATTGTCGTCGTAATAAATCCGTCGAGTAGTTTTTGTTTCTATAACGAACGTACAGACAGACAAAAGTTTTACTGATTGATTTTTTGACATTAGTATCGATCACCAATCAATAGTTATTTTGGAAATATATTTTATGTACGAAATTGACCTCTCTACAGATTTATTATAAGTATAGATTAAGAATGTTTTCCACAAAAAAAAAACCGATTTTGATACAATTTCTTAGGAACCAATCAGTGATATATCTTTTCAGATAAAAGAACTTTCTCACAGTTGTAGTTGACTATATTCATTAGATATTTGCAAATTGTATCATAATTAAGTGCAGTGTGGTTTTGGCATAGAATGGGCCACCCATTGCTTTCCCGTGGGTGTCATAAGAGGTGACTAAGGGAACTTAATGGTCAAAGGATTGGCAGCAGCGTCTCTATTAGAACATCACCAAAAGCCTAACTGCGGTTTTTTTTATGGGTGAAAATGGTATGGTAACCCCGCCTGCGCTAACGGGATACGCTGGCGGAGCACCAGTTAAGGATGATAGATGAGAAAGAAAATAGGCCAGTTAGTCCATCGTGATGAATTCATCAGGAATTAACCATGATAGTTTCCAGGGGGAACC